CACACGCTAATCGTTTAAAGAAAATTCATCATAAAGAGAGGGGCAAGGAGAACTAGACTTACATCGCCAAAAACTTGGCAAAAAAGGAAGTCTTCATACTTTTTCTTTAGACTCTCACCCGCCATAACTTGAACTTGAGTTAAATCACACTAAAATTAAGATAAGTTGAACGGTGCTGGAAGTCATCACATATAACGTGATAAGGTACAAGCGATAAGAACAAATCGGTCAAGCAAACAACAGGAGAACACGGCGATTTCTATGCGCAACCAATCAATCTCAACAAACATTACTTCACTTACAGCGTATACAGAAATAGTTACAGATAGTGAAATCAAAGGAGAAGAAGGATGAGGTTAGGCTGTCCGCAAAGTTTCGTGCGTTTCGATGAACACACATATCTCAGAACAGGTCATTGGATTTTGAACAGAAGGACCATAAGAATCTGCAAATTCTTGTCTATAAATGGCAACTTCGCATTTATCGTTAAATATGAGTTTTGTAGGTGAAAGGTCGTAGCACTTTTCCTGACATGCATCTTGTTCCTAAATTTTTTCTTGTGCAAAAATTTTTCAAGACCCGAGATAAAAGTTGTTAGTTGGCAACAAACTTGACTATTGTGGTGAAGGACAGAGTTTTATACTACTTCACTTAATTTCTGCGTAGTCGAACTTGAGATTTGTACCATGCAAAAGTGGATCGATTTTCAATGCCTCAACCGCAATAATCCGCGAACCCACAGTCTCAGTACTGCTTTCTTAAGCACCTGTCACCAGCCACTACCTGCAGCTGGCTGTTGTCTAATAATTGCCACATATCATCACCATCTTCAAGGTTTTGGCTAGCAGCTACAGAATTTTCTGACTCGCCAACTCATAGTGCACTCGCTAGTTGAACAGTCAAAGACAAAGCATTATGACAAAATTTTGAGGCTATTCATAAACCTAGTTTGATATAGATTTAAGAAGTGATCAAGTTTACCGATGTTGTGCCTGCTTTGAAGACCTGGAAGTTGGTCGCAAATTAGTTTTAGTTGAAAAGCATGATAAACCTTTTCGATGATACATTAAGTCCCTAGAGTCAAGTTCTTGCTGATATAAACTTGCGCGAATTTTGTTGCTGATCTCGCAAACGCGCAAATCTTTTCGGACAATCTAACAAAAGGAACAATACGCTATACAACAGCGTTATTAAGTTATCATCATTGTTGATAAACTTTCTTAGGCAAGAATTTTCTAAATCCATCATTTCAAAGAAGGTATTATTACGGTTTAATGCATTCGAGAAATTTCGCTGGAATGAGCCTTATATGAGCATTCTGAGTAATAGTGAAAAAGAATCTCAAGTGTAGCTTACCTTCGCTTGATAGCTAGTTTATCAAAACCAGCTATCAGGCGAATGTGAACTACACTTAAGAATGAAGATGGAAGCGAATGCAAACAGTATGGCTTGCAGAAAAACGAACTCCAAAGGAGCAATTAAAACAAGAAATGTTAAGAAGCGTAACTCCGTACGTAAGCAACAATTCCAGTTAAAGAAAGATAGGATCTATTGAAAACTTCATATTCAGCAGAATGGATAAATCAAACCGAAAACAGTCTACCACGCCAGGACCATCGAGACATAGAGACAATCCTGAATATGGCTAGCCATTAAAAAAAAATTGCAAGGATATCACTCCTTGAACAAGTCATAAGTCGTAAAAAGGTATAAGTGATTGATATCTTTAGATTAGGTTAACATAGGATAACTGTGACAACGGTGACATCTGAATCAGCCATTTGATGTTTTGAAAATTCCGAACAAAAGATGAAATTCGTTACAATCAATAGCAGCACATATATAAACCTGCAAATTCTTGGAGTAAACAAATCAATTGCACTGCTATTTATTTTACAAGAGATGGATTCTTAGTCGGCGGCGATCCAGAAAGCAGTGTTTAATATTAAGTGACCTCATTGATTCTAAATTATCTTCCACATTGGCCAAACATTTTTCTGAAAATGTGTACGATTACTCTATTAAAATGGCTTACTGGACATTCAAAAATAACAAAATTCAATATGGACCACAACGCAACGCAAAAGTTACATACAGATGTATTATTTACCAAAGAATATTTGTGATCTTGTTTCAGGTTGTTGTCAAAGTAATTACTGACGCATCATGTATAATACTGGCATAAATTTTTTCAACTTCCTTCAGAAAAGCCTTAGCAGATACGGAAAGCAAAATTGGAATCAACGTTTTATGTTGTACCTATAAGTGTGTGTCTCTTTTTATTCACACTTTGTCTAAGCATCCTACCTTTTTTAAATCACTTTAGAATGACGGTAAAATCATAAAGAAGTATGAAATACAAAATTAAATGAAAAGATTACGCTATTATGGAAGCAAAGATGTAGGTGAAGATGTAGCAAGAAAGACCATCATTTATATATTCAATGGGATTTCGAATAGAACTCAAATCGAAGTTTTACGTCGAAACTCTGATACGAGCGTTTCGTTAAGGTTAGACGTAATGTTGCATTTTGAATTTTCGCGCTTTGTTTTTAAAGTCTGCACTTACACTATCTGAAGCGAAAGGGCAGAGCCTCCACTTACAACCTGTATAGGTCCACTGTCTCAAAGCATTATATATGAGTTTGCAATTTTGTGGAGCCTGCGGATGGTCATTCTTTTATAAAATATCACAATCACAATAACACCAAGTGCAACTTCCGGAAGGAGGAGCCACACTGAGCTGCATTTGAAGAAATGAATGTAAGTCCAGCCGGAACGGTGATGTTGGTCGCCGGCTCCGGCCAGGTAACCCCTCCTCTTCCCGTCCCTTTTCCATTTTTTTTATTATGAGCTGTTCACATTATTTCGTTCATTTTCATAGTATGAAGTATTTCAATCCTCATTGTTTTGTTTCACTCCCCTCAGGAAGTGTGATACTGAATACTTGCGGCTTCAATTGTGGCTACCTGGAGTGTTTTGTTTCTTTCACATGGGAAAAGGACTCCAAGGTTTTCTTTTCTGTGTGGTATCTGACTCACTTCTTTTCTTACTTT